GGGGGGGGAGTAATGAGGATCCGGGGCATGATGCAGGACGCGTGCGATGCGTCCATGCCCCGGTCCTCTCCCCCCCAACCCGCAAGGCGGCCTATTGGTGTTCGGCGGAGATCGCCAAGCTCATGCGCTCCGCTGGCCGCGCCTGGGAGGCAATGGCGTCCCTGCGGGATAGGGACGCGCAAATGGCGGCATCGGCCGTCCTCACGGCGAGAAGAGGCGCCGTGAGGAGGGCCATCGCCAAAGCCAAGATCTTAGTCTGGGAGGACCTAATCTCTTCCGTAGACCGGGATCCCTCGGGCGCCCATACCGGATGGTAATGCAGCGATTGCGCCCATGGGCGCCCCAACTTACGGATACCCTTAACCCTGAGCTGCTCGACAAAATTGTGGAGGGGCTATTCCCGAGGGTGGGGAACAATATCCCACCCTATACGGGACCTCCTCCCGACTGGGAGGAGGAGAAGCTCGGGGTGACGATGGAGGAGATGAGGCGAGCCGCCAAGAGGCTCGGCGCCAAGGGAAAGGCGCCGGGCCCTGACGGCATCCCGGGCCGAATATGTGCCTTGGCCTTGGCCGAGGAGGGGAGGCTGGGGGGCCGACTTAGGCGGCTCTTCACCCTCTGCCTCGGAGCTGACCTGTTTCCGGTCCCGTGGAAGAGGGCCAGACTGGCCCTCTTACGCAAGGAGGGCAAGCCGGAGGATACACCTTCCGCATACAGACCTCTGTGTCTGCTGGACGAGGCGGGCAAAATGTTCGAAAGAATCATACAAGCCCGCCTCGTCCGGCACCTGTCCCGAAATGGTCCCGCGCTGGACGACGCGCAGTATGGCTTCTGAGAGGGCCGATCGACCGTGGATGCGATCAAGCACGTCAGGTCCCTCTAGAAGGCCATCGTGAGGGAGGGAATAGTGGCGTTGGTTATATCAATTGATATAACTAACGCCTTTAATACACTCCCCTGGGACGAGGTAGAGGCAGGAATGGTCCACTTTGGCTTCCCGCCCTACCTAGTCCACATAATAAGGGACTATTTCCGGGACAGGCGCTTAGAGTTCCGCAATAAAGCGGAACTCCAATGCGGAAGGGGGGGTGTATTGCGGTATTCCGTAGGGGTCAGTAATCGGCCCTCTTCTGTGGAAATCGCATACGACCAGGTCCTCCGGACCGCCTCCCCCCCCCCCC